AAACACTCTCAGTATAGCGTACACTTAAACTGATACTGATTTTTTTTAGGTGGGGCTTTTTCAGGTGGCCAAACTATGTAGAACAGTAGAACATTGCTTAGCCTCCATGTCTGACTCCAGCCTGCCTCTCCAAACTTTAGGTGTACCGACAGACATCTACCCCATACAACCCCACTTCAAAAAGTCTGAACTGAATAAAACTTTGCCTTCCATGATACAAATAGGACTCAAGACACTTTCCGTGCAGTAATCTGATCCCCAGCCTTTGCGTCAGTCTGTTCTGGACAGAATCATTGCTGTTGTGGAGAAATATGAAAGTTAAAAAACATTTCATACGTTTTGCAACCTTGTCCCTGAAGAGAAGATTTCACATCGTTCTGTTTGACCTCTTAGTTTAACCTTTTTTTTCCCTTAACTGTTGCTGAACATCATTCCCCCTCCTGAAGTTAACATCACAGTATTATAATTTTATTTAATGATCCAGCTGCTGTGCCTTTATTCATTACACTCCTGCCTCAATTACTGTCTTTGTCCATTCAAAGATCCTTGAGAGGTTTTACGTGAAAAGCTTGATGCTCTTTATTGTATGTGTTGGCTCAAACACACACACAGTGTTGGTCTGCCTCGTCGGTACAGTAGCTTGCCAAACCTGCCTGCCAGTTTGCCGTTGGCCTTTTGTTATTATGTCATGACTGAGGCAATAGCTGATAGAAAGTACTCCTACACGCTGTAGTCTTACCTGGAGGACAAGTTCTGACATGTGGACATCTGAGAACTGGCAGGAGACACCACTGCAAATGTCACGCACGTGCTCACACACACTCGTACACACACACCTTTTTAAACACAATACACACTGCATAAACATTACTAATCATCTGTCACCTTTTATAATGTCTGACAGGGTGTTTGCCCACACAGCACTCACTGATACAATGTTGAATTCAGTGGATTCTCTACAACAGAGTTTCCACGAACTCTCTTCGGAGTGTAGTTACAGTACAAACTTGTTTTCACCTTCGATTACGACATGATTTAAGTACCTTGGTGTAACTGCCAGGCTGCAGTGGCCTTCCTTTTTTACTCTCTAATTTGTGTTTAAGAGCCTGCTGAGTACAGAGCATGAATTTCCTCAGATAAGGGGTTTTTCGCGAAGCCTCTAGGGTGCAGTTTAATTTCTTGAAGTGGTCTGGGGACTCGCTCTCTGTCACCGGTTTCACTTTATCTCTCTCACTCTTCATCTCCAGAGCTCTCTCCCACTACATTTCTGTCTCCATATGATAACTTGATGCCAACCGGGACACAAGTCGCTCCAGTGCTCCGTCTATTTTAGGTTGCATTGACTGGCAGCCGGCCAACAAATGGAAAAATAACCAGGTTTCTCTGGTTATTAATAGTCAGCATTTTCCCCTGCAGCAGCTTCCAAGACAGTGGAAGCTACAGCCTGCGGACACACACACACACACACACACACACACACACACATACGCTCCGCTTTCTCTCGCTTGTTCTGAAACAATGTCACAGTTGGTTTGAATTTTAAGTGGCTGCGCCGCTGATTTTCATAGCTGTGGTCCAACAAGTAAAAAGGAAACAATAAGTAATTGAGAGAAGAGGATGTTTGCTGCTCGGGGATGTTTTGAAAAGTAATTTGGAGCCATTTCAAGCCATTTTTATACCTGGTGCTGCTGTGCCATCCGAGTATTGCTATTTTTGTTTTGTACTGTTACATAATACATGGCATTCTTTGTCACACTCGAGGTTGATTAGAGGAGGTTTATTTCAAGACTTGTGTCGTTTACAAAAGATTGTTTGGCAGGCCAGGTGGTTCAGTGAAAGGACCTTTTACACTATTGATTATTTATAAACTTATACCAGTTTATCTTTTCCTGTTCACAGTTCCTTTAGTTTAAATGGAGGTCAGAATTCAAAAATGGCTTCCTCCTTCTCAAAAAAAAAAAAAGGAAAAAGCCGTGGGAAAACTAGTTCGCTGTATTAATATTCAGAAAGACACATGGATCAGAATTTTTCTCCCCAGAAAAAATATTCTGCCTTTGTGAGAAGACTTTTAATGTAAATCTTTAACAAAAATCATGATATTTTTAATGACAAGTCAGCTAATGTTTTATATTCTTATTTCTCTCAACAAATTTCATTAAAGATCAAAACCAACAATGAATTGATCCAACTTACAAGAATCTTCTAAGTATCCAAAACCTGACTTAGCTTATTCCTCTGTGCCGTAGATCATCATTGTTGTACACAAACTGTAAAAACACGTAAGTGAACCTCTTTTGTTTCAAGAAAAATGCCCAAATATTTAATAAATGAAAGTGTGTTATCCATTTTAAAGGTTTACTGTATGTTTCAGTAGAAACAAAGTGCTACACCTAAATTCAAACAATTTAAAAGGCCACTTTAACAATTAAATGCATCACAAGGTGTTCTACTAATTTCTACTAATAATCACTGAAGAACCTTGTACAAACTTGCCTGTGATTATATGCGTAGCTGTGTATGTGGTTTGCTTTCATGTGGTCTGTAGTAACCTTTGATGACTGGACTTTGACCATCTCGGCTCACCTCTCTCCAACAATGTCTGACCATCAGAGTTAGATTTTAAAACGACTGAAGAGCCTTCATTCATTAGTATCAACAAAAGTAAACATCTAGAGAGAGCTGTTGGTAGAGAATCTGTTTTCAATACTTTCTGAAATGATAGTGGTGTTGAGAGAATTTGTCAACAAATTCATGAAAAGATCAAAAGCAAAAATGAACTGATCTGATGAGTATTTTGTGTGTAGCCAGAGTCTGATATTGTTTATTCCTCTGTGCCATAAAGCTCCACTGCTGTTCAGAGACTATTAGAAACACATCACTAAGCCACACAGCTGCACTGGCTGATGTGTTCCTTCATTACAGTGTTCATGGGCACTGTCAGTTATTTTGAGTCAGTCCCTCATACACACTAACAGTAACCAATCTCACAGCTAAAATAACATAGCTCCCAACAAATCTATTCACACCTGTTTGAATGTTTCCTTAAAAAACACAGTGACCATCTCTTTTAAGAAATTAGATACCCATGCATCTTCACTAGTAACTGTAAGAGTGCACTTGGTAGAGTGCAGATCTTGGCTAGGTGGTGGGGGTGGGGGAAACCAATACAGCATGGTATCACAGTACTTTTCCATGGCAATATTGTATCAATACCCAGACTGGCAGACCAAGTTTCCATTTTTTTTAATTATATACATAAATAATATTACCAATGTAAGATGAACTTTTGGTAGCCTACTAGAATAACCCCCGAGGCGTTCCCAGGCCAGCCGGGTGATGTAGTCCCTCCAGCGTGTTCTGGGGCGGCCCCGAGGTCTCCTCCCGGTTGGACATGCCCGAAACACCTCCCAAGGGTGGCGTCTTGAAGGCATCCTTACCAGATGCCCGAACCACCTCAACTGGCTCCTCTCGATGTGGAGGAGCAGCGGCTCTACTCCGAGTCCCTCCCGGATGTCTGAGCTCCTCGCCCTATCCCTAAGGCTGAGCCCAGCCACCCTGCGGAGGAAACTTTAGTGTCATGACAATATCATATCTCTGTTGATTCCTGCCCCGACCAGGCAGCTGCTAAAGCTGATCGTGGCCACTCTAGACAATACACACAGTGCAGCTGCGCCTGGTGGAATTGTCTCTGCTGGCTTCCTTACAGTCAAGATGGCGATAAAGATAACAAAACAGGGCTTTTTTTGCACCACATATCGTGCTTAATTTTAGGGGATCATAACATATTAAGTGTGGCATTAATTTGCAGATGCTGTGGTTCAAAATGAGGCCAAACTTTTCTCTGGATGTCAATTTTTGAGCCACAGCGAAGGCCAAAACATAGCCCGCAACAGTGTGGCTTCTTGTTTTTAGCTTAGCTGGTTGCAAGAAATGCCTTTTGCTCTTTGCTTTAGCTACATGACTTTGTTGAAAATTGCCAGCTGGTTAAGAGCATCGAGGGGTCAGCAGTCAATGACAGTATTAAACAGTCAATAAAACAGGTTTTTCAACAAGGTCCTTGCGCATGCAGTTATAAATGTGCACAGAAAATTCAGTAGGTTGTAGACAGACAGATAGAAACACTCTCACACACATGCAGGCACATGCACGACTAAATGCATGATCTCCTCCATGCTTACATTTGCCAGAGATAATAAATGGGGGATTAGCTGAGAGACACAGATGAAGATAAAGAGCAAATGCATTGTTGGTATTAATTTTTACATGGGATTTGTAGTCAGCAAAAAACATGTAGAATATCACCAGCCATATACTTTAATCGTGCCGACTATAACACGCCATTTCTAGGAAATAATAGAACTATAAGTTGGAAATTGCTCACAATGTTGAAGCACACAGTTCATAAATAACAATCAGTAACCGATTCAGTACACAGAAGTGCAATCCGCTCCACAAAATAAAGCTTTTTTTTTTTTCTTTTTTTCTTTTTTTGCAAAAGCTGAAATCCTACATCCTTGACCCCAGACAGACTGAGGCTCAAACAGTCCTGCTCTCTGTGTCCTTTAGTTGGGCAATCACACAGTTAGCCACCCAAACAGCAACAGAGGAAGGCAGTGTTTTGAGCAGAAGAGACGTTCCTCAGTGCCAGAGTTCGTCTTGTACTCGCTGTGACACAATCTGCCTCCCTGTTTACTAGATAACAGACAGACTGCAGGAACGAGCTGGAGGACCAGGGGTTCTCAACATGGTGTGAAGTGTGTGTGTGTGTGTGTTTGTGTCCACTTTGTGGAAGGTGGCATGTAGGCTTGTCTGTGAATATTGTCATTGTCATCTTTATTTCGCCTCACTTCTGTTTGTCTGCTCTTTTTTTATCTCATCTTCTCTCTTCCTCCCCACCATTCTCTCATTCCTCTAGTGTTATTTTCATTTAACAAGGCCACATTCAGTCAGCAAAGGATATTGCATCAGCTGTAGCGTCACTGCTTCATCTCTCTCCACAGCAGACATGGTGGATACCCAGCAGCTCCTAGCGTGGCCTGTAGGTTTCAGTCTGAGTGCCGTGGACCTGTCAGAGCTGGATGACAGCTCCCACTCCCTGGACATGAAGCATTTGTCTACATTAGACTACGCCTCCATCTCCTCGTCCTCCATCCAGTCCTCCCTGTCTCCCCCGCTTGTATCCTCCATCTCCTCTGCCGGTGTGGCTTATGACCCCGGTCCTCCGCAGCACGAAGAACAGCTGACCAACATGGACTACACAAACATGCACAGCTACAGGACAGCGCCAGACACACACAGTAAGTCCAGTCTGTGTAACGTGTTAACTAGAGTTTGTTTTTGCTGATTAAAGCTTAGCAGCAAAATTTACTTGCAGGAGAAAGAAACTGAACCATATGCTCAAGACCTCATGGCAAAAAGTTTCAGTGTAAAGATGCATCAAGTGTAGCACATTTAGAGGACAGTTGTAAAGATACTGTAAAATGTTCTGTAAAACATGAGAATAGTGGTTATAACCTGTTAAAGACCTGAAAACTGAAAATGCACTTAAGAGTTCAAGTAGGGGAGTTTTAATACTACTTGATATCCTGACTGCCTATGATTTTACTTTCTTTAGATTTGATCAAGCTGGAGCCAGAGTCGCCTCCACAGTACTCTGACAGCCCCGTGTTCTCCAAGCTCCAGGACGATACGTCAACAGCAGCGCTAAACATCGAGTGTCGTGTGTGTGGAGACAAAGCTTCAGGGTTTCACTATGGCGTCCACGCCTGTGAGGGCTGTAAGGTAGGAGTGAAAGATTATTATGCAAAAAGATGAAAATAAGATGTGAAAACAAACTTGGGAACTTTGTATAGTCAGTGTTAAAACTGCATATCCTCATACAACCATTTGTATCCTATCTTAGGAACTGGTATTGTCAAGTTACAGACCTCATGCAAAGTCACGTACTTAACATCAAGTTACGTACTTGTCATAAAGTTATATAGGTAAGGTTTAGGCAAGTAAGGTTACGTAAGTCAGGTTTAGGAAAAGAGACATGGTTGGGTGACGTTACGTTGAGTACTTAATGTGAAGTTACGCAGGTTAGAGTTAGGAGAGTGACGATGTTCGTTAAAATAACTCAAAGTTTACTTGGTTTCACCCGGGACATGAACACTGGTCTCATGGGGAAAAGGCCTGTGTTTTTTTTGTTTTTTTGTTTTTTACCATCCACCACCCCAACCTGCCATTTCATGTGAACTTTCAGTCACATTAGTCATGTGAACACAGCCAACCCAGTTACATGGGATATATATGAACTGTGGTGTATTACTTTTGGTAGGTATATGCAAAAATGGTGCACGAGAACAACTTAGTTTAAAACACTAGATTACATCAGACAAGGTCTGCAGCTAACAGCTATCTACATTATCAAATAATCTGTAAATTATTTCAATTGATTAATCATGTTTAATTGGCTTCCTTGTGTGGTTGAAGCCCAAATATGTTCAATTTATTATCCCAGAAGACAAAGAAAAGTAGTAAATCCTCACAATTATGAGGCTGATTGTAATTTTCGTTTGTCATTTTTGCTTGGAAAATGACTTAAATTATGAATCAGCAATCATAATAGTTTAAGCTATAGATTGCACATCACACTGAGCAAACTGCCTTCTACTTTGTGGGGCTTCAGACATCTCAAACAAAGGTTTTGTACTGTACTGTATTTTAAAGGTGAACACCACCTAAATTAAGGATTCCAACATGTTATTTCCATGGCCTAATCAATATTTGTGAACATGAGCTAGAAACTGGAGAAGTAAGTCTCAAATGTGTAATGTCATCGAGTATAAAGTCTGAAGCTGCTCCATTGACAGTGAATGGGAGACTCATTTTTTTTTCTTCTTTATGCCCAAATGAGCTTTATTCTATTGTAGCGTTCTCAGTTCTGAAACAGAAAATGTACCTATACACTCAGAAAATTCCACTGTCACTGTCATTTATAACATTTTTTCCAATGCATTGTTTAAGGAGCAGCTCCAGACTTTATACTCGATGGCATCACAAATTTGTTTCAGCACTCTAGTTTTTGGATTTGGGTGAAAGTTGTTCATATTTACTAATTATTTTGGACAGTCTTAGACCATAGGAATAACATGTATGAATTCTGAAAATGGGTGTAGTTCCACTTTCAGGGTAATGTTGTCAATCTGTATTTGAATAAGTGCACACAGTACAACCAGCAGGGCTCCGCTGTCGTATTGTTGTTCAGATTTCAAAATGAACTGTTTGGACAAAATCCAATATTTATTTTTTTAAATTCTGGCTACCAGTCATTTGACAGATGCCTATTGTGGCTTAAATAGCAGTGCACAGCAGTAGAGAATAAATTGATTGCTGCTCTGAAAAAGTAATGCTCAAGATCAAAGGAAAAAAAGAATTGACAGTCATACCACCCTAGAGTCATGTCAGGAAGTGGTGATGCTTGTAACAACTTCTACTGCAAATTGTTAGGTTTTGTTTCCTTGCTAGTCTTCCTTTTTCTGTCACCATATGTCAGCCTCAGGTGACATGTTGGTGGAATAAATAAATCTATAATTCATTTTATCATCTCTTTGATGTCTGTCACTCTAACCACAAGCCCCATACATTTTCCACTCTGCGAGGGCTCAACCCCAAGCCTGTGCCTCTACAGACGCATAGGCAGCCCCTTAAACTCTCTGTTAGTCTGTCAGTATAGAGTATAAATAACTAATAGAGAGCGGGGGAAGTTTCACACATATTTCCATTTTCTTTGAAACATCGAGGCATTATATGAAGAGCTATAAATTGAGACATTGTCCTTCAAACACATGTGAAATGGATTTTCAGAAAAGGCAGCAGCAGTACAACGTATGCTTTTTTCAGTTTGGTCCCAAGAAGGTAAAAAAGGCTCCTTCGCGTGCACTGTGTTTCTGTCAACTTCAAAAAGTTTCTGCAGTGAGAGACAAGCTCACCCTAACAGTAGCTCTTTTAATAGAACATGGTAGATTTTTATTATCATAAAAAGTAAGCTGCCTTTTGAAAACATAGATACAACTTAGTCTTATATATTCAACATAGCATTATTACAGCAACATTATATGTATATAATTATGACATTTATTGTAATTATTATATTATATATTATTATTATTATATGTATATATGTATATGTATATGTCATAGCGACAAAACCTTGACTTTGATACCATCAAGAAAAAAAACCTTGACACTGAATGACCAAAACATGACAAAATGACTTGGTTTTTCCTGTGTGGTTATAGAAACCACTTGTATGATGCAACTCAGTGCAATACGCTTGACGACAACATTACTCAAAGGATAAGTCTGGTGATAGTCTCTGTTTTTGCCATTGTCAGTAAATCCCATGAAAAGACGTTTCCTCTCACTAACATGTACTATCTGTGTTGCCAAAGCCTGATTTATCTTATTTCTCCAAAGATTGTTAAAAACACAGTGAGCCACAGTTTTAGTCTTGTCGACATGTTTCTTCAAAGCCATTAACGTGGACACTGTGGTTTGTTTTGACTCTGTCCCACAAAACACCATTTTGCTGCCATAAGTGCAGAACTTGTCAGCAAACCAAGCCACAAGTTTCAGGTTATTTATTGTCAAACACACAACAGTTACAGAAGAGCAGTTGTTGGCTCCCTCCAACAATGCTCATTAAAGGTATACTATGCAGGAATTCTCAGTTACTGTTTGTAAGCAGTTTTGCCAGAGAAAGTGAAAGTAAAAGCCATCCCTAGACTGGTGTTTTGTTTCACTAATGTTCTGTTTTTGGCGCTTGGCTCGGTGTTGCACATAAACGTCCTCAACCCAAGATGAATACACCACCACCCACTGCTAGTGGGTCATAAATGATGATGATTGAGAGGAATTACTTTTGTATAAGTTCACACCAACAGACAGTGGTAGTTTGCACTTGTCATTCAAAAAGGGAAACTAGAAGACCATCATGATACTAGTTAGCCAGTGAGCACATAAACAATACAATCCAGTGTTGAAAGGACAAAGTATATACTGTGCGTCAGTTAACAATAACACAAACCATCACGAAATGTTTCAGCTAATGAGCTCAATAACTAAAGAAAATACCTTGTGTAACAAGTTTGTTGACTCTTGACTTTATCTGTAAATCTAGCAGCCACAGCGTTTTGCTGGCGGCTGGTGCTAATTTCCAACCCTGGTATACACACAATGGATAGTCGAGGTGGTTTGTCCCACAAATACAATACCTACTCCTGTTTGATTAAAAAGTTTATTAAAACTACAGTGCCTCGCTGTTTTAGGAAAATTTTGTCAGCTGTTTTAAAAAAGAAAGTACGTATGTATTTGTGATGAGTAGATTTCCCTTTTATTTATATATTTAACCAAGAAGTTACACTGAGATTGAAAATCTCTTTTACAAGAGAGACCTGGGCAAGGTAGCAGCCAATTAAAACACATTTAAATGCACCAAATACAACATGTAATACAAAAATCCACAATAAAACAACAGTTATTCAAACATAGTGGCCTAGTGTGTGTTGAGTCAGTGTGATTAATTTGTAGGCTCTACATTGTGGTGGTAATTTAATGAACGGCAGTATATTGAAATGTGTTTTTAATGTTAGTGCCACACAAGTATTAGAAACTAGTTATATAATAAAATCAATAGTAATATATTAAGAAATGCAACATGACCCCGAACTACAGCTTTGAGCATTACCATAGAGTTGATTCAGCACCTCTGTGACACTGTCAGGGCTGTTGTGTTGGATTTACTACAAAGTACAAGGCACTTAAGTCATACTGTACCTTCGGAGGCTGAATGAAGGTAGGGTACAGTAGTCATTGTTCTGCTAAGGTCTCAGGGGAGACTCACCAGAAGAGGGGGTCAGCCAAGCAGGCAAACACTTAATTGTTTCAAAACAGAAAACATTCTTTATTGAGGTGGGGCCTTGACCCCCTTTAACTTCCTCCTTCTTTAAATAGCCGACAATTAAAAAAAAGAACATCTGTGGATTGTAGGAATGCAGATGCCAAACACACCAGCCTTCACGTAGTACGAGTCCAGATGTGGATTTTTATGCCTTATCAAAAAAAAAGTCAAATACTATTCGCCCTGTGAGGCTCACAGACCACAGGGTTATTCTTTTTGTATCTATTCAACTCATGTTTTCATTAGCTTTCTTAGTCAGCATAGACAAACACAACAGCCATTAAGAAACCTGTGACTATGTGTAGGAGTGTGTGTTAGCAGTTTGACCATGACTGCATTACTAACTGAGATAAGCACACATCTTATGGCTCCTTTGGTCCTAAGGTTGAAAACATCAAAGCACAAATCCACCCTGAAATGCAGCCTGCTTTTAAACCCAATATGAGTGACTTCCTCACAGATTAGAAATAACCAGGTATCTGATCTGCATCTATCAGTCAATAGATGCTCTGTGGAGCTACTCCACCAACAACACACTGTAATCAGAGGGTGAATATTAAAACAGGAAATGGAAAATCAAAAGAATTTTTTTCTGAATATAATCAATATCTGTTTTATCTTTACTCTTTCCACTCCCACCTTCTCCTGTCGTGTCTTACACACAGTGCTAGGAACTAGTTTTTTTTCCTTGACTTTATCTGTTATCATACTTTAAATGTCTTAATTTGCCAACACAAATAGTCTCTCAATCCTTTTCCCCCATTTTCTCAAAGAGAATAGTCACATTAAATAAGTACATGCATAAGCCCTGCTCTAGTGTAAATCTCTTGGCAATTATTATAGAATTAGCTGAACTAACAGTGTAGAGCAAATGTCAGGGTTTCCAAGGTTATTAAAATACTTTAAGATTCAGGAAATTAGGAAAAAACATTTTCCAGACATGAATATCTTTTGGAAGTAAAAGAAGGTTTGAATTTAAATTGTTTTGTCTGTTGTCTAAAATTTGTTTTTAAAAGTAATTAAACGTGTCTAATATTACAAGAAATATCTTCCTTGTATTACTAATTCAAAAATCTAGTTTCGTGTGATTCACATAGACCAGACCACATTGTATCATCGCCAAGGCTACGCCCCCTGTTTGGGGGAAAGAAACGTGCTGTCACATGAAGAGAGAAACAAGAAAATGCCTTTAAAATATGTTGTGTAGCGGGTAAAGGCTTTCATATTGAGATTTGAGGCTCATAAGAAACTGAATACTCACTGTCAGTGTGGTAAATCTCTAAATGATTCTGGTTACAGTCACTACTGATGGAAAGGCAATGTGAACTTGAGTGGGAGGCCACAGTAGTACAGTCATACAGTAAAGCAGCTTCAGACTGTTGTCTCTTACTAGATTTCAGCCTGTGGATCAAACAGTTTGTGTTTACAGGTTGGTTATTTGCAGACAGCACTACCTAACCTAACAATACCAGGTAAAAATGTGTGTGTATTAATGTATGGTTGTATCACTGTACATGCCTACCCAGTTTAAAGTACCTAAATAAAGTCATGGAAATGGGGTAAAATATATGGAAAAGTTTTGAAAATTCATTGGTAAAAATGTGTGGGAATCCTGAAATGTAAAAGGTGGGATATTGTTAGTGACTGTATCTAAAGTATCTGTGTCTCTGTCTTTCTTTCTCTCTCTTAGGGTTTCTTCAGACGCACAATCAGGTTAAAGTTGGTGTATGATCACTGTGATCTTCACTGTCGCATTCACAAGAAGTCCCGCAACAAATGCCAATACTGTCGTTTCCAGAAGTGCCTCAATGTCGGCATGTCACACAACGGTAAGATATGTGATGCAGTCACACTCACACAATGTGCTCGAGTCACTTTTATTAAAGGAAAACTTGGGTGTGAAATGAAAACATTTACAGTTAGGACATGAAAAGCTTCACTACGTGACTAACAGAAGTCAAAGCATTTGTACATTCAGGTGTTTTTGTTTTCATGCCTTGTCTTCAGACACCAATGAACCCCCCATTTACGCTCACTATAAATAAGCAGGCACAGGTTAAAAGGTTGATTCTTCTTTGAAATCCTGGCCTCCTTGCTGACCTACTATTGTGCCTCTAATGCCCTCTGAGAACAGCAGATACATCTTCACCACACTGCTGCCAATTTGGTCTTCGAGGTGTGGTGTGTACGTAGTGATGTACACCGCTGCCTTATATGTTGCCAGTTGCTTCCTCTGTGGTCTTCAACCTGTATTGTATGTTTCAGTTCCCATCACTAGTGCAGTGTACCTGCCACCCCAGCAGCATGATCAGAAATGAATTTAGTTATAGGTTAATTTTAACCAGTTTATTTACAGTGTGTTTTTATCTTTTTATTCTCACCTTAGTAAACAGTGTTGTGAATTCGCCAAAAGGCCTTTTTTCATCTGTGGTCACTTAAGATTAAAATGAAAACAGTTACTGAGATACTTAATGAGCTTGCAGTAACGATATAACACACAATATCTTTATGATACATTGTCATCTTACAATTTACAAGCAATTATATGCTTTGCTAATGAGGTTTATCAGTGACCACACAGTCCCCATTGTGCACACACTGTTGATTTAAGAATTTTAAAGGTATACAATGCAGGGTTGTCTGTAACTGTTTGTAAACTCACTAGCCAGGGTGAGTGAAAGTAAAAGCCAACCCCAGATTCACTCTTATTTGGCATTTTGCCTTGCTACGTTTGCTTTTTTACGGTGCTGTGTTTCCTGGATGCCTGCAGCTTACAGTCTGGCACCTGGTCGCTACCTCTCTATGAAGGCCTGACCTCACCTGAGAGCTGTGGGGGTACACACCCATACACGTCCTGAACATAGAAAATAAGAAGAAAATAGGAAAATACAGGCAGAGGGCAGAGTCTCTGCAGATGAATACACCACCACACACTTCTAATGGGTCATAAGTGACGATTTAGAATGTATTACTTATGTATGAGTCTATACATTGTATTTTAAGAAAGTCCTACATAATATATCTTTAATTAGAATGGTCAAAATTAGACTACATTAAAACACGAGCAGAGATCAAATGAAATCAGCAATTCCACATGTACAAGCCTAGTTTAGCCATGGAACATCCACACCGGTATTTTTACTAACACAGGTGGAAATTTACCAAGTACTGCAAGGCCGCTGGGAACTGTTGACACCTCCCACGCTCAGCCACCTGTGAGCCGATCGGTTGTGCGTCAATTTAAATGCAGTTTAGTGCAGCTTCCGCTGTTCATGTAGTTTCCATTTATTCACAAAAAATATACAGCTGATCTCAGGTATGATTGTATTGCAGTGTGTAGTGGTAACACAGTTTGTTTATATGAATCCTCCACGCTGTCTGCCATCTGCCACACATTCTGTTTCTACCCTCTGGTTTTAAGTAAGTGTAGTTAGCCACTGAATCCAAGGTAAAAGCGATCAGACTACAGCACAAGGAGCTTCACTACAGACATACAATGTCTACAGAAATACTGTACTTGACAATAAAATTCATTTTCCATTAAATATCTCTGCCCTCACCCTTGACTGTTAAGCTGTAGGATGGTTTTGTTTTGTCAGCCATTGTTGGTCACTGGAGCGCATCAGCAGGCACAGCTGTAGTCCATTTTTAAATGAAGTGCTGTCTCCGCCTCCCCAGATGAGTTTCAGCACGGACCTCGTGACTGTGTGGGCGTGCACAGGTTGAGCTTGATTGACATCTCACTGTCTCTCCTGTTAGTTTTGTTGCTCCTGTTAGGGCGGGACGACTTACAGCATTCACTCTTTTGATGTATGATCTTGTTGATCCATGAAAATTCTCAGCATAGTTTTGCACAACTGGAGTCTTAAGGTCCAATCACATTTGCCTTTTGTCCAACTCTATTGCTTCCCGCTGTGCACTAAAAAATCCAGAGTAACTGCAGCTGAAGATGTGTAATAAATAATTGAAAACACCTGTGTGGGTAACAGGGCCTCGAGACTAGACCTGGTATCACCACACCATCTGTGTCTACTTCTGTTACATTATGCACTCAGTAGTTTACTTTATAGTAAGCATAAACTGAGATTTTGCATCTTCGCTGACAGGTATAGAGTCACACAAATGTGGATTTTTGCATCTATAAAAGAGCATTGCATTGTGGGATTGTTTGCAGAAAGTCTACACACTACGTTTTTGTTCCATTGTGGGACTTTTTTGAGGGCATGTCAAAAATCTGCCTTAATCTGCACAGTGCCTGTTTGCATGTGGGTGGTATGATTAAATTTACTGGTTATCTCCCTGCATTTTACGAGCACCCAGAGCTCCTTGCTCATCTCTTAGTTTAAAACTTGATATCCGCCCCGTTTTTCACTGGTTTTAGGACTGTTGCTCGAAAGAGAGTGCTACTACATCTTAGTATGCCTGCCATCATGGACCAAACTAGGCAGTGCTGATCAAATATAAACCAAACCTCTGTTACTGCTTTGCCTATTTTTCTTCACAAAATGTCTTCAGAAACAGATTTCAGCGAACGGTTTGGCTGTAATATGAGAATCTGTGAACAGGAAGCAGGTGCTATACTATTTCCTGTATTGTTAAAATGGATCCAACAGTAAAATGAAGCAGTGCTGATAGGATATAAACCAAGTTCTGTTACTGTGTTGCCTATTTCTCTGCTCAAATGTTTTCAGAAACATGTCATAGCTTACTGTTAGACTGTAATTTAAGACCATTTGTCACCAGCTGACTGCCATATTGTTTCCCGTGCAGCCAAGCTTGCGTTATGTTAGCCACCGACGGGAGCGTTTATGGTCCAGTGCGGTGCAGTTTTTTCTGGTAGTGGTAGGTTTTCTATTTCTTGAGCGAAAGCAAACTCCACAGCTCTTTTATTCTGTTTTCTCAGGTCATGTAGCACCAGTTTTAAAAGTATTTGCATCCTTTTCCTGCAGACCATCTTTCCACTAGTGAAATACATCTTTAAGACATCCATTCTAGCTGAAATGCAAGTTGGTTTATTACAGATACTACAACCTCTGCTTAAGCAAGACGCTGGAGCTGCAGTTTGAGCTGGTTTAAGGAACTTTAAGGTGATATGCGCTAAAGTCTGTCAGCAAAAGTGAGCACCATTTTTTTTAGTTAATCTCAGATTTAGAGCACTGAGGATTTGAGGCTCAACAGCATAACTGCTTTACATTTACAGTATGCGACAGGCACCTACTGTAGTTAGTTTGTCTCTCCTCTCCTGCCACTAATCTCACTGTCCCTCTCTGTGCCTCCTCCTCCCCTCATATCACTCTACTGTTATTTCACTTGCTACAGCCGATTCTTTGAACGTGCGCGCTGTGTTTTTTTTTTAATTTATCAATGATTGACATCTCAGAGTACATAGACCACAACTGATTTCACCAACCTGCTGTGTCACCGTTGCGGGCTTGTTGCCAGTTGGTGGTAGGCCACTTCAGTTCATTTGTTTAAGGTGTGCATTCATCACACAATCAGCATTACACAATCACATTGCATAGGCTTGAATGGGGGATAATTAATGACTTCCACTAACAGAAAAAAAGGGGGGTTTCACCATTTCGCAACTTAGCATCAAATTTCAGTTAGATGACAATGAACATTTTCACCACATTCAGCATAAAACCTAGATTACAATTATACCTTTGTCTGCTGTAATGAAACTTGGGTAATGGAAAAATCAAACGGGAAGAAAAGTATCATCAGTTTGTCTTTCACTGAAAGAAAAACGCTTTTGGAAAAGTTTTCAAAGTGGTGTAGCTATTTTTAAAATTAGTATGAAGCTAAAAAGAAAAAGTAAAACCAGTAAAAAGTGTCATTAATATAATGTAAAGTTACGAATACAATTACATTTCAAACAGCATCCATAAATAATTTATAAGGTTATCATGAATACGGCATAACACCATAAAATAGATCCTAAAATACATAAACGTATGTTGTTGCACACAAACCAACCCATCTTCTTAGAAACAGAAATCAGATCCAGCTCCACCTATGTGTGTTTGTAAAAGCACACTGTAATATAACCTGCAGCGTATAACCTGCAGGAACAGGTGGGAAAGGGAGGAGAAACTGTGAGACTTGTATAAATGTATAAGATAGTATTTCAGGTTTTGCAGTGAACTGTGAAACACCATTACCAATCAAACTACATAAACATGTTATTAAAGGGAACTACATTTTGTAATTGCTTGATGAGGCACGCCTCATAAAATCATAGGAGGAGAGTTTGTTGCTTGTTGTTGCCAGTGGATTTTCCCATTCACTGAATGACGGTATGAGCCGTAACTCATTTGTAGAAGTTGTCTGAGCAAGGAGTGCGTGTTTCTCAAACTTCTTTGAAATCTTTGATTTCCTTAGTTTAATCTTGAGCAACAGCTTAAAACATTTCCTCTGTCTGAACTGAATTCTTCCATATTGTAATACATGGATTCCTCAACGTTTGTTTGTTTGCTGTAGATAGCAGGTCATTTTGTGGACATTAGCTGGTCGATCTGGTTCATTGATCTCTGTCCAAATATTAGAGATGCGATAAAGAAATGAAACAACAATGACAGTCACTCACCAGTGTCACTCACCAGTAGACATAAAGTGAATAGTTTAGTAATAAATTAATTTCAACAGCATTGAAATTCCATATTTCTGATGTTACAAAACATTTAAACCTACCACTGAACATAATACTGTCTTTTTACTTTATACTTGCAACTTACCTGTTGGTAAAATGTACATTAACCTCACTCACTTTCACAACCGTATTCCTACATAAAACCTGCCACTGCACGGAACCACATCTATACTGCTTACTTTTATATTTACCTGCAATGCTTGAATAAGAAAAAGATGGTTTGTCAAAAAAGTAGTCTTAAATTTGGTCTTAACAGAAGGACTATACATTAATGTTTTGTGTGTGTCGTGTGCATTGAAGTGCAAACATATTGCTTGCAATATGTTTCTGTGTGTGCTCTTACATACTGGATCTGCCGAGTGCCTCTGTGCACTAATGTGTGTGTCTGTTTCCTTTCCCAGCCATTCGTTTTGGCCGAATGCCCCAGGCGGAGAAGGAGAAACTGCTGGCTGAGTTCTCATCCGACATGGTGCACATGCACCCGGAGGCGGCAGATCTGAGAGCTCTGTCCCGGCATCTGTACGAGGCATATCTGAAATACTTCCCCCTCACCAAGGCCAAGGCCAGGGCCATCCTCTCTGGGAAGGCAGGAGACATTGTGGTAAGCAGCACTGCTTTTATTCTACTTTACTTCTTTTTACTTGTATATATACTGGTGGGGGAGTGCTGCCTTTGGCCTGTGTAAGCTTAAGACCATTTATTATATTTTCTACTGCACATTGAATGACGTTTTCATCTCATACTCAACCAAAAATCAGATACAGGACATAAAAACGCCTCATTGACTATGAAAAATGTGTCTTTACTTACACATATATTAAAGCACAGAACTCTCTCCCATGTGCAGCCTTGAGTTTTAAATGAAACAAGACATTTCTGAGGGTAAAACAATAATAAACGATACAAGTTTGAAGTGCAGGAGTTGAGAAGCTTTAAACTTACAGCAGTTCAGCTCACTGCATGTGTTAACATTTTTTTGCCACGCTCAGTTTAGTTCAGATGAGGTCTTTCCAGGCTGTTATTGCTGCTCTAACAGGAAAAGCGGATCGACTGGTTTCTACATGTCTTGGCTGTTAGAAACACCTCAGATTACAGTGGTCAAGCTGTGCAACAGGATCACACGGCTTCTCAGCAGTCTGATGTACAGTAATGGCTTCGACATTCCCACTCAACAAGTCAAAGTAATTTATGAAGACATTTGGTGGTTTACACAAGCGGGCCGTAGGAAAATGTGTTGGCCACAAGCATGAACATGTGAGATATCATCTATTTCTGTGTTTTTGTATGTGAGGTTTGGAGATATTGAATCTCAGTATTCAAAAGAGACCTAATCAGGAAATCCACATCAACTGAATTACAAGTGGCAGACAAAAGAAAACTGTGGTAGATGTTTAAAAATGATCCACAGAGCATTTGTGGCTCAGAACGACAGACGTGATACTGTTGATGCTGATGCTATTAAAGGTTAATGGTTAAAATAAGGTGCACAAGATAAAATATCCTTTCTTTATCATCTTCCTTTGCAAAAATGTAAAAACTCATTCTAAAAGTAATCTTCATCAGTTAAACCTTATTAAAAGTGCGGTAGAATAAATCTGAATAATACTAAATAACAGCCGAACCTAACAACGTATCCTCATACCGCAGTTCGAATGATATCCTATGAATTAGCGCCTCACGAGTGACGTTACATACCTCACATAAAGTTACTGTGGTTAAGTTTCAGAAAAGAAATAAGTGAGGATGTACCTTAAAATGACTCACTCAGTGTGTTCACTCAGTTCCAGACACTAGTCTCCTGAGGAAAGTCTTGTGTTTTGTGACGTATCCACCCCCCAATATGCCTCCGAATGAACCACTTCCTCCTTTACTCCCGTCAGCACATTGGTCACAGGATCGCAGCCTTCCAAAATACATACACAAGAGATATGTACAATTTTGGTGCATTACTTTTCGTAGGAAACTGTACGAACACTATATGGGAACAGCTTGAACCTGACCAACTGAACCTGTTAATTAAATTGTCATTAAGTAGAAATAGTGAATTATCGCTAATGGCCAGTAGCTTTTGATAGATTTTGATAGGTAGAACCGAGCACATGGACCTTTAAAATGTATTTATATTTAATTAGATTATGCGAATAGTGTCCAATGAATGATGAAAATGAGGGAGCAAATGAACCCTCAATAGTCATTATAATTATTACTGTCATTGTTGTTGTTATTATTGGCTCTACAACTCAGGACCAACTGTACAGCAGCATCTGAGTCTTCTCCCGTTCTGTTGCTTCTCTCTCTGTAAAGTCAGATGAGTTCAAGGCCGCTCCGCCTCTCTTTCGTCTGATTGTTTTGACTGTTCATCACAGCGATAGCAGCCAAATGGCTCAGAATTATCTGTTTGAGAAAGTCTCGGGTTATTTACTAAACCACAGCAAACCTCTTGAAACAAATTGGGAGTCAATGATTGTATCTTCTGTAGAATATTTACATTTTTTGAACACATGGGGCCATGAGTTGATGTGTAATCAACGTTTAACTTCAGCAGCACTGGAGACGGGTCATCAGAGGTGACGGGAGAAGAGTTTTTACAATTCTTACCCTCAGTGATTAATGACACATTTATTGCTAAATTAGTTTGATGGAGAACAATTTGTGCAGTGAATTAGAGAGTAAACGTGGAGAACTGTGGTGAGGCACTGTGGCTACAAGTAACTGAATAATGATGAATGATAAAAATGTAGCTTAACAGAAACACAAGCAGAAGAGGGTTACAGAGTCAACAAATGTCTGTCATATCAACCTCTAGCTAAAAAATAGCCAACTTAATAAGGCCTTTGCACACTTTACACATTTAAATAAGTGACATTGGGCCTCATGCAGCAAAGTCTCTTTCATTTCTCATATTTTCTGTTAAGAGAAAAAATAAGAGATGTCAACTCAGGATGCACCAAACCGTCTGAACCATCCAAATCTGCTCTCAGCCAGGTGTGCTGAATGATGAATCCCACTTGATCATAAGTAACCTATCTGTTACACACCCTCAGCACTATATATGGGCAGGTGTAGTGCCGTGTGCAAAGACTCTGACACATGCCTCGAGAACTGGAGCCAAAAACACACTGTAAGAAGAACTTCAGCCGTAGTAAAAATGACTTACTGTTAAATAAACAAAGTGAACATGTGATTTTCCAGAGTGTCAGTGCTCGTGTTACAGGAAAATCAAAAACCCAGAGATGGCAAAACTTAACTGATTCTGTGTCAGCTGCAGGGGTGAAGGAAGTATTCAGATCCTTTACTGAAGTAAAAGTACTGATACCACACTGTAAAAATACTCTGTTACTAATAACAGTCCTGTATTGAAAATGTTGCTTAAAAAATATTTAAGTACAATCAGGAAAATGTATTCAAGTATTAATATAAATGTAAAAATTAAGTTAATTTAATAAATCAAAATGATACATTATCTCATATTTAAGAGACTGTAACCATGAAATGTTATGCATGAAAATGATTTAAATAATTATTGTATATTTTAACAAGTAACTAAAGTTTCAAATAGCTGTAGTGGAGTAAAAAGTACAATGTTTCCTTCTGAAGTGGAGCAGAAGTAGAAAGTTGCATTAGATCAAAATACTTGAGGAAAAATTGCTCAAATTTGTACTTGAGTGTAGTAATTAAGTAAATGTACTCAGTTACATTCCACTGGTCAGCAGAGGGACGCACAGTTACTGAAATTACAGTGACTGGGATCAATAGATCAAGTATAGAGGTATTTCTTTAGCCCTGAAATGTAATCATCCAATCATTATAATTACTCTAAAACATGATCTAAATGTGGTTATATGATTTTCATGTTTTTTTTTGTTTGTTTGTTTGTTTTTGCTTGTTTTTTTTTTTAAGTGTTCCTCAGATTTAAAATGTGTGTTTCTCTGTGGACTGTGAAAACAGGATGTTTTTCTCTTATCTTGGAAGGAGTGCTCAAGACCAGTTGTAAAATTTTCTCTTATCTAAGAGAAGAGCAAACCCAAGAAAAACACTGGTGAATCCCAGAAGTCAGTGGCTACTAACCAACTAAGAACAAATCATAGATATGAACAAAAATAAAAGAAATTTTGTTTGTATATAACTTCTTGCATGAGGCCCAAAGAGTTGTGACATCGGTGCCAGACAATGAGATTGGTTGATGCCTTTACATGTGGTTTGAAGTTCAGAAGACTTGACCTCATTCCAGAATAAACAAGGTCACTTTTTTGCTGCACAATATTTGCGTTGTGCCCCTGGTTTTTAAAGACATTTAGACAACTGCTCATTTAGTTTGTAGCAGCAAAACACCCTGTACTGAACAGAGCCCGGGTGCGTTTTGATGATTGTCAGCTTTTCCTTTATAAGAGAATGAACGTGCGATTTCGTCTTTCAAAAGTTACATAGTTGTGCTTTAAATGTTTATATCTGAAACTGGCAGCCTTGAACTTCCATACAAACGCTGCATAGACTATACTAAGATTCTTGAGCAGGCAGCACATGTACATCGATTTCATTCACTCACATAAGAAATTATTTTGTATTTCATAACATTTAATGATGACTGTTTGCTGTACCTTTCTGTAGGATGTCTCACTATTCATTTCACCACTATGAAAAAGGAAGATTTAAGTATGTGAATAGCTCCATTCATCATTCAGGCCGCTGCATGTCCGCCAGTTTTTTGTTTTTTTGTCCTACCAAACTGTAAGAGCGGCTTTAACTTAGTTATGCTTCATTTACCTGGAAATAGTGTTTGTGTCTGCCTCAACCTGCAGCTCAGATTTATTTCCACTGTCCATCAGACATATGAGATGTGCAGTGTTTGCTTTTACAAGTCTGATGAATGAGCCATGACCAAAGTGCACACACAGTATATGTGATTACATCTGCAGATCACGTGTGCTGTCCTCAGAAGACCTACAGTCCGAGGAGCTAATGTTGTTTCCTTTGTCTTTGTTTCTTCCTTTTCTCTTCCTCTGCCTTCTACATCCTTTGTACCTGCACAAATCTCTTTTCCTCCATTTTCTTTCTTCTCTACCTGCAGCCTTTTGTCATCCATGACATGAAGTCTCTAATGGAGGGAGAGCAGTTTATTAACTGTAGGCAGATACCCATACAGGAGCACCAGCAGCAGGAATCCGCCATCACAGCCGGGCTCGGAGGTTAGAAACTCAAAATACTCACTATGTTACCTTCCTTGTTGAGTTAGTTTTAAACTCTGGCTGCTCTTTGTGCTGAAGATATTTAAAACATGTTCTAGTATGTAATCCTGCAACTGAGCCACCTCGCTTAAGTTTTTGTCTGTGCACATCTCATCTGATTCCAGGTAACACAGGAGTTCACCCGGGGTCAGAGTATGGCTATTTGGGAATGGCGAGCATCAACGGACAGGTGCCATCAGACGCTCTAGAGCTGCGCTTCTTTCAAAGCTGTCAATCACGTTCGGCCGAAGCAGTGAGAGAAGTGACAGAGTTCGCCAAAAGTATCCCGGGATTTATCGAACTGGATCTCAATGATCAGGTAAGAGGCAAAAACACTGCAGCTCATCAATTCTGTCACTCACATCTGGACCTACCATCACTGTATCAGGCGACGCTGGAAACACTTCAGAAACATTACTTTTATCCTGAAGATCTAATCAGCATTAACCCTTCACCTCTATCCCAGGTCACTCTGCTCAAGTATGGCGTGATCGAGGTCTTAATCATTATGATGGCGCCTCTGATGAACAAAGACGGGACCCTGATCTCCTATGGACAGATCTTCATGACGCGGGAGTTCCTCAAGAGTCTCAGGAAACCTTTTTGTCAAATGATGGAACCAAAGTTTGAGTTCTCAGTCAAGTTCAACACGCTGGAGCTGGACGACAGCGACATGGCGCTGTTTCTGGCTGTCATTATCCTCAGCGGGGGTGAGTGGGCTTTTTGTTTGTTGTTGTTTCTCTTTCCTGCAGGATGTGTTAGGTCATAGTAACCTAGTCTTAGTAGTGTTGAGGGAATAAATTGATGCGACTGTCTTACATTAATATGAAGCTGCAGCCAAGAGAATGTTGTCTTGGGTTACATGATAGCTGTACAGTCTTTGTGCTAATGGCCACTGTACAGGAGAAAACTCTGAGAAGACTTGGAAAACTAAAGTCAGACACATTCTCACATCCAAAGACAATGTGAGTTTTTTGTCAAACACTATATAATTTTACAAAGACTGGGGGTCTTGAAGGGTCACTGATTCCATAGTCTCTATATACAGACTCTACATTCATGTAGAGTCTGTAGGCAAACCCCGAGATCTTGCCTCCGGAAGAAGAGCGGAAGAGCCCTAGTTTCCGGTTGTAGGCTGTTTGTAGTCCGCGTGATATTGACCAATCACGTTTGAGCCGGCTGCAGTTGTTGCCAGGTTAAACGGTCCGTGCGGTGAACTAACGTGGTGGAACATAATTGGCGTCACTGCAAACTCTGAATCCATCGCAGTGGTTCAGCATATTTACTTATATATAAATGGAAGTGGAAATTCGCCTCCTCTGCCCAAATCAAACCAGAATGCCAAAAAATCGGGGGTCTGCTCCCAGAAGCTGCATCGCCGTCTGCCGGAAGTCAGATGCCGAATACAGCCGGTAGGTTCCGAGAATGCTGATTCCAAGATTACAACTAGATCCTTTTAAGATTAAATCCCATCCTGCTCCTGGTGGAAAATACTACACCAAACTCCCTTTAAGAAATATGACATATTAACATTTGCCTTCATGTCCGCAGAAACACATAACTCTAGAATCCCAACACCCAAGATGACACCCTCAAATGTCTCGTTTTGTGCACAACCCAAAGAGATTCAGTTTAATGTTATAAAGGAGAAAAGAAACCAGAAAATATTCACATTTCAGAGAATTTTGACTTTTTTTTTTAAATAAGTTTTTAAATAAGTTGGTGATTAATTTAATAGTTGACAACTAATTGATTACTCGATTAATTGTTGCATCAGGTTGTGTAATTAAAACAAAAGATATTTTATGGCAGACATGTGGCATCAGAACAATTTATATTACTGTGAATGTCAAGCATCTGCTGTTAACAATCTGTGTCATTGACCCACTGCATTATGTACGCTATCGATGGTCAGCCTTGACCCCGTTATCCGTTTACTGGAAGGTTTCACGTGGGATCAAGAAACAGCAACTTTAACATATGTGTCAAGTTTTGAAAACAGCAGAGCTTTGACCCATTTTAAAAAGAGGAGGTGATGTCACAGACAACTGAGAGTCACTCAACTTTCTTTGTTTCTTCACATTTTTCCTCTGTTACTGATCATTAATAAAAAAAAAGAAAAGTACGAGAGAGTGAGGCGTGAAGGTTTTTGTACTGTCACTCCTCTGTCTTTATAATAAAGTAAAGACTTTTTAGGAACTACTGATTAAACAATTCCAAAGTTTCAATGATTGTGTAACAGTAAATCAATCCTCACTCACAAACCCAAACTATTTGATCTAATATTGCTGGTTAGCGTGTGGATGCTTGATAAAAGTCCGGCCTTGAACCTGATGAGGATGAAAATCAGACATTTAAGTTAATAATTAACGTAAATGACTGAGATTACAGCCTGAGTAAAGATAAGACGGCTTTTGTAAATAGCAATAACACAGTTCAGTCGGGTAATAAGGGACGGCTAAATTAAGTCTTCTCAGATAATAGAAATGTTGACCTCATAGATGCTTAACATGTCACCAGAAATATCATTGATGTATCCTCCGTGTCTCTGTAACCCATCCAGACCGCCCTGGCCTGCTGAACGTGAAGCCCATCGAGCAGCTCCAGGAGACGGTGCTCCACTCGCTGGAGCTGCAGCTGAAGCTAAACCACCCAGACTCTCTGCAGCTGTTTGCCAAGCTGCTACAGAAAATGACCGACCTGCGTCAGATTGTCACCGACCACGTTCACCTCATCCAGCTGCTGAAGAAGACGGAGGTGGACATGTGCTTACACCCGCTGCTGCAGGAGATCATGAAGGACTTGTATTAGAAATTCAACAGGAGAAAAGGACGAGTAGAGAAAGAGGAATAAAAGAGAGATTTTATTTTTAAAATCACGACTTGTGAAATTAACGATGAGCACTTTGTGCTGCTGGTGTGTTGAAATAAAGGGAGGTAGCCAGACAGGCTGACTGAAATTGAGAAAGAGATGAGGAAGAACGGGGAAAAGAGAAATCAAGGAAAGAAGGACAGAATCTGAGTGTTAAATCTCGTCTAGACAGCAGCGCATGAATAACTTGTGGCACACAGTCATTTAGCCACTGCTGAGCCCGGACATTCTGTGAATGAGTCGGCTGCCAAGTTAAATAAGAAACTACCACCTATGCACCAACCAGGATGAGTGTCTGCGGCTCGCTGACAGAGCGGGGACTTTCTTTTTGGCAGAGCTGAAGCTTAGAATGGCAAGTGCTCAACGCAGCCTGCTTCAAGTGCCTTCAGGAGAAATCACTGTGAATATTTCTTACACCGTGCGTAACACAGCAGAGGGCGTGTTGTCCATCTGCAGCTTATCTACATGTTGCGCTACCACCGCCGTGTCAGCAGCAGCCGTGTGTACGTGCTTCAATACCTCTGTGAATGCACACAAAAATGCATGAACGCCCGCACGCACACACACAAAACAATGCACAGAGACAGCCATTTTCTGTTTTGGCATCAGGGTGAAGGTGCTATCTCTTGTTAATCAGCTTTATCCAAAGACACAAATCAGATTATTGCCTGTAACATATTTTTGTCTCGGCCACCTGCAGAAACTGTGAGAAAGTGAGACGCCAACAAAAGGCACGCTGCCAGATGACTTCCTTTTGTTTGGAATGAACGCCATTTAGAAAAAGATATGTGACACATGTATAATGTATATTCTTATGTATTATTTTTGTATGGATGAAATTGTCAAACACGCTTTTCAGCTTTGTTTTATTTGAAATTCTTTAAAGTGGTTGAGTTATAATTTTTACTATGAAATTATTTTTTATCTATGCAAACTGTCCAATATGTCTGTGTTCATGTCGGGGGGTCTGCAGACAAAGGGGTCGGATTAATACAAGTGGGGGGAAAGAATTGTTGTAAATAAAATATTTTCTAACTTTTTATTCTGAGTCTGTCTCCTGCTTGAAGTCAGCCGGGTGGACCTGCGATGTACGGGCAAAAAACATTTTCTAATAATGATCCTTCTTGAAAGCATTCCAGTCACCCAGACTGGAAATCTGTTTTGCAGTCATTACATCAGCTGTCCTCAGCGTCTCTTACCAAACACACACACACACCCTGTTGGAACGATTGCAACATCTGAACTCTGCTGAACCGCGCCAGGAAACTAAACTCTGTGGATTCACATCTGATCAGCGAGTGGAGAGGTGGTGTTATCTTCTAATAGTATAATGTTTTTTGACATGCTGTTTTTTCTTTGTTTGTTTGTGGACAGAGCAGTTTACAGAGAGACAAGGAATGAGAAGAATAGGTAAGAGATGTGACAGCAACAACAAGGTCAGAGTCAAACTCAGGACATACCTCAACACACGTTGCAGGTTCACTGACACAGGCTCGCTACTGTCAGGCTCTTTGCCAAGTTACAAGTCTGTAAATACACAAACTCTCAGTAGATGATTCCCTTCATATGAGGAACAGAAGGTGAGCGATAGGGCCAAAAACAATATTAAGATATTTAAGAATATTTTTGGGATAATGATAAAAAAAAAAGATAAAGAAATACTTCTTCACGAACGTAATAGCAAGAAAGTAAGTGTGGTTTCATATGTCAGCATAAACAGTTTGCTTTTAAAAGTTCAGTAAAAACGGTTTGTAAACAACCATAATAACCCTCTGAGTAAGATTCTGTTTCTGTATAAAATATAAATAACAAGTACAACAAAATAAAATCAGCCACAAGTGCACATCTAAACACTTGCCAGATAAAAAGATAACCTTAAATCTTAAGTGCAAATGTAAGTAGAGGGTATTCCAAAAATAAACAGTGATACAAATGTCCCTTAAATCTTTGTTGTAAATAAATGTTGTGAACAGTGATAACAAAATTAGGTATAATGTGCAAAACATGCACCTGATGCTGCCAGTCACAGGCAGAAGTAGCTCTCCGGTTGGCTTTACATGCAAAAACATTCATAGACACGTTCTTTGAATGTAAAACACGAGCATATTCACTGAAGCAGGCCTCAGCACTGACCTTTGGCAGCTCATGTTATTGCCTCCTGTGAGGAATTTATGTTCAGTAAAATCCACCACTGTGATCAGGCTCTATCAGTGTTAGAATCAGTGTCACTTAGATATGAGTCAGTAAAATATATATTGGACCTAAAGGGTGCTTTAAAAACACCTATATGTTTTTTTATACACAATAGAGTGTGAAGATGTGTTTTGTCTCTTGTGAAAAAAACTTTAAACCTTGAACCTTGTTCTGAAAATCTGTCAATCAAAAATGATCAGGTATCAGTAGTGTCTTCTTTGTGTTTTTCAGATGTGTTTTAAAAATCTTGGTCGTCATTTTTTGGTTTCTCATTCTGTGTATAACATCAGGAAACAGCTGCACTTTCTGCCTCAGATATACAGCACATTATTCTACAAGGACCGAGCTTGTTGGCTCTGAACATGTAAAATATACAGAACTCTCAGACCTGACTGTGGGATCAGTTCTTCCTCTTCATCGTAGCCCTTAAGCTCACCATCCTCACTATCAGCAGGAAAATACCATCAGGATCCTTTTGCCTCTTTGGACCATAAAAAGTACCTTTATTATGTCCTTACATTATATCCAGTGAGTGTTTAGATTAACGTTAACCAGGGTCATTTTATATCATAATACATCTCCACCACAATTTTGCCTTAAGAAGAAACCAAACTGCACAAAACAACCCCGAGGCACCAAATGGAAAATAACAGTTAAAGAGTGTTTATATAATACATCTTAAAACCTGCAATAACTGATTGAAGTAACGGCTGGGATATAAAAACACTGAGATGAAAGATGTTAAAAAGTTCTGCATAGCGGAGGAGAACTGAAGAATCAGGTGTGAATCAATCTCTGAACCCGCTGGCCATCATCTTTGTTGATAATAAACCTCAGGATATCCAGGCCAAGACTTCCTCTTCCATGTACAAGAATTGAAAAAAAAAAGAAAGACAAAAAAGAGTAACCTAACCATTAATAAGAAAAGCTCATCAGACTTTTCCATAATAATAATAATTCTAATAAAAAGCTAAAAAAAAAGATCACTTTTTAAATAATAATTATAATAAGCTAAAAAAATAGAAAATAAAAAAGTAACTTTGCTATTTATAGGAAAAGATCTTCCAACTTAAAAAAATAATAAAAAGCTAAAAAAAAAAGTTATAACTACTCATTAAGATCTTCCCACTTCAATAAAAAAAATATATGAAAAGAATAATAATAATAAAAAGTGTAACCTAACTATTTATTAGAAAAGCTCTTCAGACTTTTCCATAATAATAATTCTAATAAAAAGCTTAAAAAAATATCACTTTTTAAATAATAATTAAAATAAGCTAAAAAAAATTTAAAAAAGTAACCTAACTATTAATAAGAAAAGCTCCTCAAATGTTTCCATAATAATAATAATAATAATAATGACAATAATTAAAAGGCTAAAAAAAGTAACCCAGCAATTCTTTGAAAAAGATCTTCCAACTTAAAAAAAATAATAAAAAGCTAAAAATAAAAGTTATAATTAGTCATTTAGATCTTTCCACTCGAATTAAAAAAAATATATATGAAAAGAATAATAATAATACAAAGCTAAAAAAAGTTTTTACTATTCATTTTTAGACTCTTCCAAATCTTAAAAATAATAGTATTAATAAAAAACAAAAAAAGTTAGAATAATGATAGTAAGCTTAAAAATTAAAAAGCAACCTATTTACAAGAAAAGCTCTTCAAAGTTTGTCCATAATAATAATGATAAAAAATAATAAAAAGACTAAATGCTATTCATTAGAAAAGATTTTCCAAATTTAAAAAAAATAAAAATAATAAAAAGCTAAAAAAAAAAAAGTTTTATCTATTCATTTAAAGAAGTACTAATTTTACAATTGAAGAGAAAAATAAAAAAAAAAGCTTAAAAAAAGTTATAACTAGGGGCGTTGGTGGCTTAGTGGATAGAGCAAGTGCCTCATGTACAAGGCTGTTGCCACAGCGGCCTGGGTTCGAGTCAACCCCTTGGCCCTTCGCTGCATGTCATCCCCTCTCTCTCTCCCCCCTTCACGCTTAACTGTCCTGTCAATTAAAGGCAAAAAAATGCCCTAAAAATATCTTTTAAAAAAAAAGAAGTTATAACTATTCATTTAAGAAGATCTTCCAACTTAATAAAAAAATATTTAAAAAAAAAAAAACTAAAAAAGTTGCAACTATTCAGCTAAAAATATCTTTCAACTTAAAAATAAATAGATAATTTGATAAAAAGCCAAATTTTTGTCAGATATGGGCCGATGGGATCTGAGATTTAATTTCGGCCACACCGACTGTTCACCTGCAGGCAACCAAAGCCCAGTCACGTGACTGGTCAACACAACCTGGACTACAAACAGAAACCAGAACACTTCTGATACTAAAGCTGTCAACAGATTCTGCGTAAACACACAGATATGTGTTTATAGGTGTTAATTCTTAGTGAGGCTCATCACTACGAGCCTTTCACATAACTGCAGATATGTTGTTAATACAAAAAATATTAATCATCCAATCGTCATACATACAGGTGGTCTTTATCCTGTTTTGTCCTTCTCTTTGATACCACACATTAAACCCACCTCTGCTCCTCACTGGATTCATCAGAAACATGCCATCTTTTTGAAACAGGAGGGTTTAAGAGCCAAAAAGACATCTGGTTGCTTCAGTGATGAGGCGTTAAGGGTCTCTGTCTTTATGCTGAGATGATTTTCTCATTATAAGGACAAAGAGAGACGATGGTAACAATAAGATCTGCAGAGGAATGAGAGGAAAAGATGAGACGAGGAAAGAGCCAGGCCGTGAGAATGTAGCAGTTTAAGAAGAAGTTCGGCCCCTAAAAATAAGTCTTTGAGTTGGCAGATGATGGTAGTGGGGGGATTTCTGGCTCTGACCCGGATGGTCCTCTTGGATGGTTGATGATGATGGTAATTAAATGTGTTCTTTATGTCGAGTCAGCATATCCTCACTTTGTTACGGCCGGTCTCTGCTGACCGAGCCCTGCCAAGATTCCTGAGCTAATCTGCCAAATAATTTTCATAAAGTATATTTCTGCAGTTGTCCATCCGCGCAGAGCCAAGTCCAAAGATAGCGGCTGTGATTTACACAAGGAAGTTTTGTTTTTGTTTGAGCTCCTTAAGAAACAGCAGCTCGGCTTTTATTTATTCTCTTTTGTTTTAGTATTGGAGAGGAATTTCACTCCCACCAGGGTGTGATACCTGATATGTGTGGGTCCTTGAACAAGCCTTGTTTCTGAAGTGATACACCTGCCGCTGTGAGACCAATATAGCTCCGGAGAAAGAGCTGTGTTTAATCTGCTGTTTACAGAGAAAACACCAGAGGAATTTAGATTATGGCACTTTTTGTTCTCGGGAGCTCTTCGGGAAAACATGTTGGACTCTCAGTAAGAGAAATAATGTAGATGCTCGGATGGTGGATTACGAGACAATGGGCCCATGGGCACAGATATGAAAAAGGCCCCACCACCTTTCTAACATAAGAGCAAGGGACGCAAACATTTTGGTGGTTTTGCCTTTTTGTTGTTGTCATTTCGCATCATTTTGTGGTCAATATGCTTTTTTGTGGTTTTGTGTCTCTTTATGGTGATTTTGAGTCTCTTCCTAGTCGGTACGTCTTCATTTTAGGGACATTTTGCAGGTGAAGGCCACGGCAACACATTCTCACTCCAACCTTGTCACATATCGACATTTGGTCATTGATTTTCCACGTCCTCATACGATGTGAAAGGTACCCTGGGTGCACTGGTTGTTGACACTCTGGGACACTGTGACAAGTTCTGCCTGTTACATGCATTGTCTTCTTTCAAAATAAACCTCTGTTTTCGCAAGACGTTTACCATTTACATACATTCTCTTTCAGAATAAAAGCATTATG